AGTTATTTCAATGTATTTCAAAATTACATATTATTTCAGTTATGACTTGTGTAAATTTACTCAAATCTGCCTCTTTTTAGGATACACTTTTAGAAATTTTTTTTGTAACTAGCACATCATTAAACAATTAAAGGATATAAAAATATGAATGGGTATGAATAAAAATTATAAATTTTGTGAAGGTTATCTTCTCTTTTTACATTACTAGGAATCATATTTGAAGTATATACTGAGGCAAAATGTAACCTGAGATTTAGTCGTATTTGTTAGATGATAATCTCCCCTCTATTAGCTCTGTTAATTGCACATTCAACTCATTTTTAAATTTTAAAATGTCTGTCATTCAGTCAAACAAAGCAAAATAATAGCCGAATATACAGCAGTAAAAGACAATAAAGCAAAATTCCATTAAGCGGTTTCTTTTCCTTTCCCCAAAAAATTAATTGTAAGTGATGAAAATCTGACTTATTTATCTAAAGTTTTACTTTTCAAAAATGTAGGACAATAAAAGAATAACACTCTTAAAGAATCAAAATAAAGCCTACAATGAAAAGTTATTTTCCCTAGTATGTAATGGTGATATAAGCCAATTTCCCTTAGAAAGCCCTCAATGAATGCCTCCCTTCCCTTAAGCATAGAGCCCTCGCATGCTTTTCCTTAATCAAATAAACCAAACCAACCTATCACGAAAAGGAGCACTCTACTTCACTCACTCCATTTAAAAAATAGTTATTTTTTGTTCAATTACTTTCTGATTTCCACAGATCACTACCATCCAACTTTTAACTTCTCAGAGATGATCTAAATAAATACATTCAAGTTCTACTAACAACAGAGATAATTTATAAAATGTTAAATTTTCTATTTTTTTCATTTCATTAAAGTTACCAGTTCTTTGAAAATATTTATGCTGCGTTTCCTCATTTGCCCAGAGAATGAGGAGGACAGTAAAAATGAAAAGGCTGAAAGGGTAAACTATAAAGTATATACAATTGTGCTCCTAAATCCACCGATAATACGTTGCAAGATTTACCCTAAATAAATGAAACCAAAGATAATAGCAAACGCTATATTAAGTGTATTATACATGAGATTAGCGTTAGACAAGCAGGCTGAGGTTCGCCAACATTAATTATGGTAATGATAAAACATACTTTATTCTACTATACATATTGTGGTAATAAATAAGTATGTGAAACATTACATTATACCCTTGCTTTTCCTCTATGGTAAATATCAAAGTAATGGATGTTTAGATTCTAACTTATTTCTTCAAATATGGGACAGAAGAAATGTAAATATGGTATGCTTATACCATTTAGTGTAATATCCTGGTTCATGGAAAGATAGAAAAAAAAAACATTTGTCTCCTTGCAGCTATAAGTACAGAAATAAAGACGATTTAAACACTCCCTAACGGAAAGCAGAAATTCCCTCTTACCATCATATTCAAACAGATTATTCGGAATATAAGCTAAACAAAGGGACGCGTCTAGGGGGGAAACCTTAGCTTGAGAAAACACGCAAGATTCTGCAACGACTATTTTGACTATTTTCATTCCCGGTTCACTTACAAAGGTCGAAACTTCTGTTGGAAAATAGTACATAGGTGTAACAGTGGATGATGAATATGCGGATAAGGGACATCTCTCTCTCCCTCTGTCTCTCTTTTTCACTCTCTATAAATACATATATACACACAGAAAGAATTAGGTATGCATCCATCTATAGACACATGCATAACTTAAGTGATACTTTCTAAACATGTAATATTCTATGAGCACTTTCGTTATGATTATTGCGTGAAATAAATGAATTTTTCGCTCATTTATTTTTCTGAAACTGTTTCTAGGAAGAATTCAGATGTGGTCATTCAAGTGAAGGAAAAGAAAAGACACAAAAGATAATACATATGAATTTAAAAATATAATCTAAAATTGTCTAAATGATAATTTTATGGCTTTAGAAGATTTATATTCAGATAGAAAGTTAATTATCGGCATATAATTATAAAGCATTTTTCTTTCCAACTTCTTTTGAAATTAGAGTCAAAACGAATTTTCGTATAACAACTTGTTTTTTATATATATAAAGGATTAATTAAAATCACATTTTTTGCAGTTACGTATTCCTTTATAACTAGTTAAAGTGCGACCTTGGCAAACAAATTCCGCGAAAAATGTAAAAAAAAAAATATTTTTTGTTAAATATACATAATTTTTTTCTGAGGTTATTTCGTAATATTTCAGCAAAACAGCAGAGAGCAAAACAAACATGAAACAGCAAAACAAAATTAAATAATTCTAAACAAAATAGCTTTCGAAAAATGCGTTACGTACTTTGTGTTTTGGTTTCAATTTTTCTACTTTTAGCAGTTACATGCATCTGAATGTTTGTCAATAATTATATCTTATTATTTTATTATTCACATTTTTACGAATTTCGTAACATGATATTTTAAACCATAGCAAAACCTTTACCTTGTTTTGTAGAAATATCACTTAACGTTGTAGCTTTACAATTAAGTTTCAGTTACTGGAATACTCTAAATAAATACAATTACTGGACTACTCTGGTATTTCTCTTATTCAAATAAGTATATTTCTTGATACGTCGCCCGTTTCTAAAAGAAGGTGCTTAGCATAAAAAGACCATGTCTGTATTTCTGAAAATGTTATAAGAATTGTTATTAAGAATTTTTTTCTGAACTGTTTGTTGAAAACCGCTAACTAAAATCTGCCGACTGAAGAAAAATGTCAATGAAATTACTCTGCTTCAATTTCTAGTTTGAAAAACAAACATTGGGAAAAGTATTTTAAATTGAAAACAAACTTTAATTCTGAGCAAATATCAAAGAAACATCGCTATATAACTTTCATTGCTTGAGTAAAGAGCAAGCTTTAACGCAACTCCAGTTGAAAAAATTTTATTGCATGCATCAAAAATGTTTTGCTTTGTGACTTTAGTAATTATATTTTTATAAGAAAGAGCTAAGAAATATAAGCAAATCCTATTATTTGTTCATTTAACTTTAACCATATGTCTGCTCTTTACCATTTCCTTATCTTATTTCTCCCAACATCTCTCTTCCTTCAGAATATTTACCTTTTCCCCCAAATAATTGTTGAGTACGTATTTTTGGTAAACTTATCGAAGTGTCAATTTAAGATAAATTATAATTCTGGTGAGCTTTTCTTTGAAACGCAACACTGATTTTTATCATTGTTATCAATTTATTATAATTGAAGTAGTTACATACTTATATATTAAATCTAAATCCTCTAATTTCAACTTTGTTCTTTAAATTAATTATTATTAAATAAAATGATTAAATAATAAGGTTACTTTCAGCAGATCAATTTCCTTCTCACGTTATGCATTAAAAATGTGTATTTCTTATTCTGACATTTCTATTATATTGATTTTTTATGGAAGATCAAATGTTCTGAGCCGTTACGTGTTTTTCAATTCATTCGATTTCTTTGTTTTTCTTTTCTTAATCTTTATAAAACAATCCATTAAATGCCCTTACCAAACAATCGAGACATATTTCCATTAGAAAAATTATTATGCTCGGAAGTTTTTCAAACAGACTGCAGAATTTTGCTTTTCGAGAAACAAGTGTCATAATTTAAATTACTTCTTCTAAATAAATAGCATTTAATGATCTATACAATGTATTTCCACACCTGTTGAAAGATTTATTTTAAACAAACTTTCAAAATTATAATGGCCATTTTTAAAAAGCCAAGACGTCTTTCTGGTAATTTTTAAATTATTTTTCTTTAATGTAGCTTCTTCTTCTAAGAAAGAAACTCCAGTTTGAACTAATTTCAAATTGAAGCTAATTTTTATCATCTCTCTTTTTATATATTTAATGTTATACTGCGAAATAAAACGAACATTTGGGTAGTAGTTATAATTGTAAACGCACTTTTAAAAATGTTAATAGTAATTTGTCTAATCATAGTTTTATATACTTTACATATTTTCTAAATTGTCACATATGTTCCTCTTTATTTTTCGCAATAAACTCAGAAGTTAAATATTCTGTTATCGTGCTTAATTCATAGAATGAATTGTTTCTATGGTAAGAAGTTAATAGATGTTATTATTATTAATGATTTGTAAGTATATTAATAGTTAGTTTTTAATAAGGTATTTTAGAGTTCAACTATGAGCTTAATATTATTGTCCATTCAGCAGTGATAACACAAAAAATTTGCATTTAAATGTAAAACGCGGCATCCCATTACATGTTATTTCCTTCAAAAAAATCATATAGATACGTAATAAACGCTGATATTTATAAAGGCGCATGTTGCTTTCTCTCTGCCCCTTTACTCAGTATCCTCAGTATCTCAGACTTCAGCTATCTTCATTTTAGAGATTTAATTTATCTTTTCATAAATATTATTCTGAAAATAAAAATTGCTATTTCTGTGCAACAATTTTGCTGTTTCGCATTTCATCGGATATATGTTTTCAATTATTACGTCATTGTATTAGAAAGGTATCGTTACGCAATATTATCATATGCACATTAGAAAAAGACAAAAAAGTACTGACAATTCATTTTGTGTTACATTAAATGCATTTTAATGCATAATACTAATTTGACTCTAGAAAAGTATAATATGTAGAACACAGTGATTCGAAACATTATCCTTATTTACTGATAGAGTCTAATAAAATGTCACTTTAACGAAATGTCATTCTTACCTTTTGTTCATGAAATTTCCCTAGAAAAAAGTGATTATAACAAATTTAAATAATATTTATATTGTTATTGTAACTCGCCTTATCCATGAAATCAAATACCGGGAAAATTAAAACTTACTTACTTCATTCAAAGCCCCTCTCCCGCTCTTAGACCTTTAATAATAAAATTTTTCTTACCTGCATTACCAAGAATGAATAACTAAGAACAATTGGTCATGGATAAGGCGAGTCACAAAATCCAAAAAAACAGGTAATAGATAAATGTCGTTCTGTTGCAGACCTGGACATATTCGTGTGCTGTCATCAGGAGGCTGGTTGCAAGCAGCAATGATGTGTGAGCATGGTGTGGGTCCCTGCAGCTCTGCCTTCCTCACTGTTGTGCTTCTCGTTCTCTTCGTCGTCATGGCAACAGGTAGGGATGGCATCCTCCCACCACCTTCCGATTCGAGCTCGACTCGAGCTCCGCCCGTTATCATTTATTTTTACCAGAAATAAAAAATAAACAAAAAAAAAAAAAAAACGCTTTGTTAAGGGGAAAATAAAACCAACTGAGGGGTGAACCCATTTTCGAAATCCTAAGTACTTCACTTTCACAAGTGGTCTAGCGTAAATAATAAAGGCTTTGCGGAAAGGAGCAAGTCAGTTTCAACAAGTATTCGCAACAGTTGGATTTAGGTAAAAAGCTTCAAAGACTCAGACAAAAGCCATTACGCCTAAAACTGCGGGCTATTAATCTATGCTTGTCTGCCACTGTTTTTAATTTCGTTTAGTCAAAATCTCTTTTTGCGCATTTTAAGCGGTTAAATTGAAAAATCATATCGAACAATATTGGCATTAGAATGTAAATCTCAGGAATAACTATAGTTAAAACTTAAATTTTAGAAATGGTTTTGCAGATTTTCCTTTAATTAGAACCCCATAGTCTTACAGAGATACGAATATGCAACATTGTCTCTCTTATATCTATGCATTGGGTCATTCGAAATGTACAGCAGAGTTGTTCTGTGATAAATACAAATGAAGAAATACAAAAGCATTAGAAACTTTCATTCGATCACATAAGTACTATTTTATTCTTTGACATTTTCCCCATCTCTCAAGCAGCTAGAAAGACTATGGGGACTTAATATACTCTGTAAGACTATGGGGTTCTAATTTTAAAATCACTAGGTTTATTCTTAAGGAAGTACTGGTGTGCTGCTTTACGGTTTCCAAAGAAGTGAACGCCAGGCCATGCATAGGATTTTGAAGTGACTGAAGAGATTAAACTCCAAGATGGCAAAGTCTGGTGAATATAAGGGTTGACACAAAATCTACTCAATTAGTTTTTCTCTGACATTCATCAAAATGTGGGGCCGAGCATTGTCATGATGGAAGATACCATCTTGAAGATTGGTCAGTTCTGGGCATTTTGCTTTTTCTTCCTTCCGTTTGGAAATATTTTGGTATTTTTTTCAAATTTATGGTCTGGTTTGGCAACAACAATTCATGGCATTTTCTTTTGTAGCTTCATCATGTACAAAGCGTTACTTTTTTAAGATGCAGTCTTTCTGTCAGTGTTACTAAAGGAAGTTTCACAAGGTATTTCTCCCGCCTTCTTAACATGCGTTCGTGGTGTAGTGGTCAACATGCTCGGCGCGTATTCTAGAGGTCCGTGGTTCGAGTCCCGGAGAGGGTATTTCTCATTTTTCATCTCTCCTGCTTTCAAAAAAATACCTAATGTCTGTACAGTTTTTCTTGGTAATTTTCTTGTAATTGTAATATTGTAATATTGTATCCAATTCTCATGTCCAGTAATGAGCCGTGTAAAAAATAGAGCTTTGTTATTTTTTTCGGCAAAGAATCTCATGCCAAAACTCGAGCATGCATGTTCTGATCTGTTAAAACAGGCATCATAGCAGCTTACATGCACAGTCTTCTTCAAATGATCATGTACTGTACTTATTGGAATATTTATCCTCTTTGGTAGTTCATGAACTGTATTCAGAGATGAATACTATAGTTGATGATCCTGAATTCAGAGATGATCCTGAATTCAGAGATGAATACAGTTCAGAGATGATCCTGAATTCAGAGATGATCCTTGAGTCTGAAATTTCAGCACTTAAACTTTTCACACTACCTTCAAGCTGTGTCATTAAAAATAGCACTTTTTCCGTATATAGCATAAATTTTGCGAACAATGTCAGAGTATGTCACATACTCTGACATACTCCCCCCTTTAAAAGGGGGTAGTATATAAGGTATTCCTCCCACCTTCTTGGCATGTCATGGTGGTGTGGTGGTCTACACGCTGGGCTCGTATTCCAGAGGTCCGTAGTTCGATTCCTGGCGAGGGCGTTGCTCATTTTTCATCACTCCTGCTTCCAAAAAATACCTAATGACTCTACAAAGAAACCCTTTAACATCAAGAGAGTACTCAAATTGACCGTAATAATATAACTATTTAAGCCGCCCATACGGTATAGTGGTTAGGAGAGCTTGACTTCGATACCGAAGGGCCCGGGTTCGAATCCTGGAGAAGACATGGATGTAAAAATTGTCTGTCTCTTCAATAGAAGGCAATGGTGGCCCACCTGTTAGAGGTGCCTCAATAATAAAGAGACCACCGATCTGGCCTTAGGAGTGGACGATGACGGCATATGCAAGTACTCGCCATTAGAAAAAAATATATATATAACTATTTAAAAAAGGCTAAAAGAAAACTAAATGATTTCAGGAAGTAGAGTTAGTTTTTTAGAAAGATTTATTGACTTCCAAAAACTATTGTATGTAAGAGCATGGTATAATCTTCATTTCTTTTCCCAATTTCCGAATAGAATATGCTTCTTTACAACCTTGCCGCCTCTCTCCTTCTGAAGATGATTCAGATTATTGGGACACGGCAAAAAAGCATATCAACGACGATAAACATACCTGATGTTTTAGGTTTTACTCGGAAACTAAATAAGGATATTGTAGAACCAATACGTTTTTCAGTTAGGAAAAAGTTTTGTAAAATCAGGTAAAATCTGTGACTCCCTCATCGGGACTCAAGCTCTTGACCTCCCGAGTGCTAGCCGGACATGCTTCCAGTTACACAACGAAGATACGCGTTAAGGAAGGATAAATTTCCGTACGATATTACTTCGTGTGTGATATTAATGCATACTTTATTTCTATTCCTGTTTGCTTAGTTTCTTTAGTAGAGTACATACGTGCGTATTTTCATGAAAATTAAGCCATTTTTAAACTGTTAAACGCACTGGTATCTTAAAATAGCTTCATATTAATCACAATTTAATTCGAATATGACGGCAATAAAAAATATATTCTTTTTAGCAAATATATGTTATTACACTTTCAAGGTATTTCTCCCGCCTTCTTAGCATGCCTTCGTGGTGTAGTGGTCAGCACAATCGGCGCGTATTCGAGAGATCCGTGATTCGAGTCCCAGCGAGGGCAGTGCTCATTTCTCACAACTCCTGCTTACAAAAAGTACATAATGTCTCTACACACTGAGAGACTTTAGTTTGACTCCTCTGTCATCCAGCATAGTTCGTTCACTCTTAATGAAATTTTTCGTTTACAAGCTTTCTATTTGAAACCCACATTTCTGCTATTGAATTTGCTTTCTAAACGTATGCTGCACTACAGTGGGTTTTCTTCAATTTGTGCCTAGAGAAATTCGGGTCTTAAATGAATTTATAAAGCTTTCTTCATTTTGTAATTTTCTGAACAGTTTCATACTAACGTAATTTTTGCATCTGAAAATGATACTTATAGAGTCTCTTTTTTGGTGTGTATGTCTGCCCCACAGGAATTCTACAGATATTAAAAAATATCTTGAAATTCTTCGATCCAGTAGTCTTACCTTTCAAAAAGCTTTGATTATCAAGATCATGACACTTAGAATAAATTCGCATTCTACATCTGCTTTATTCTATACCTTTGAGTTTACCAGCATTAAATATGCTCTTAGATTACACGAATATTCAGATCTGTCCATTACAACTTATTCCAATAGTCCTTTATAGCTAAGATAGTTTTGGGCTTTACGGTCTTCGATCCAGCAGTCTTACCTTTAAAAAAGCTTTGATTATCAAGATCATGACACTTAGAATAAATTCGCATTCTACATCTGCTTTATTCTATACCTTTGAGTTTACCAGCATTAAATATGCTCTTAGATTACACGGATATTCAGATCTGTCCATTACAACTTATTCCAACTGTCCTTTATATCTAAGATAGTTTTGGGCTTTACGGGCTTATTATTACTATCAATCCAAGGCTCCAGTTTACGAAAGTATCCACGTCATTTGTCAGATGACTCTGACAACACTTATGAAAATCCATGAAAGTGCTAAGAAGAAGCACGAAAGCATTTTGAGAAAAGGTGCCTTGATTTTTCTGAAAGTTTCTATTCTTGTTGATATCTTCTGGTATAAGATGCATTCAGAATAATGTGTGAGCAAGAAGGTAGTTGAGATTTGAGTCTTGGAAAACTTAGAAAAGCATGGCAAATTTTTTAAATACGTGTAAGCCCCTTCCTGTTAATTAGCGGCCTTTTTCAGTTAGCATTTTTTCTCGTTGTATTCTTCTCTTTTTTCAAATTTACTTTCCGATTATTGTTTCCGTTATTCTCTTTTTCTCCACTGTTCATTTCGTATCTTTTCCTCTGGTATTTAACCTATAAGGGGCGTTTCCTGATTGATCTCGCTCTTTCTTCTTTTCGTTTGCTCAGCTTTCGTACGATTTGCCCTTCAGATGGGTTTTCCTATTTATTTCTGCCTCTGTTTATTTTCTCGTTGTTTCACGTCTTCTCTTTTCAATAATGGTGTTTCAGGACTCTTTGTTTCTGTTATAAATACTAGTTTGCGACCGCTGAGAAGACTTTTACAGTTGCCCACGCTTACAAACTTTTCTAACTAAATCTACTATTTCTAGAATTATCGAATAAGAAAACACCAAGACATTGCATAACTTTATTGCTGTAAAAGAACTTGCTGTTTCTGAAACTAAATTTGTCAAGTTTTCAAAGAATTTCAGGTTTTGACTCTCTGTTTCGAAAATAGTGATGATATAACACTGCGGATGTTGCAGTTCATATCAGAAAACCAGTAAAATCATATTCTGATTCTAAATCTCCGAAGGTCTCTTACGTTGAAGAAAAACATCAATATTGAAGTGAGTAAGCCTGCACCTAAGAATACCACTACGGCCCAGCTAATGATTATTAAAACTGAAAAATAGCACTTTTGAATTCGTTCTATTATGTCGATGCTATATCACTCTTGAAACATAGTAAGAAAGCACCAAAGGTGGGCAAATCCTCTGCATCATCTGTGCTTTCCCTGATATTAGCTGGAGCCACCTAAGAGAAAATTTTAGAAAATACTCCGTAAAGGATCTTGAAAAAGTATTGTGCGA